CATTGTCTCTACAAAAATTGGGTTAAAGTAGTTACACGATCGCTAACAGATGCACCAACGATTATTATATAATATACAACGGGGTCACAAACATTGTTAAATAAATTGCAGTTATGTGGAGGCAATTAATAAAATATATTATAAACACATAAATTACATTTGAGTGATTTTATGACACGCTCCCACGGGAAGAAATTGAGAGGGGTCTCTAGCATTTTACCTACTTGATTAATAATAAATAAATAATAATATAAGACCTATATTATTATTTAAATTTTTAAGTGTGCTTGGAGAAATTCATAGGGTTGAGGACAGTAATCCAGTCGTCCGATTTAGTTTTCTCTCTTTTTCGTGATACCTATTTTAATTAACACTAAACATGTAATATGACCAACATAATATTATTTATATAATATGGGTGAGCACAAAATCCATGCTTTGGCATACACTTACCATTTGGTAAGACCACAGACACCCACATCCAGGGCTACTGGCGCCTGTGTGCAAAATAGGATTTTGGCGCCCCTTAAGGCATTTTGGATCATGTTTTTTTATTTATTTTTTTGAAGGTAGGTAGGTGCTTGAAATAAAGCAAAAAAAACTGAACTTTAGAAGTCATATTTATTTGTAGACTAAAATATCAAAATGAAAAGAAACAGAATAAAATCATAACAAAATAAATTAAAATTAATTCTTGTGCACACCCATTTTAAAGCATTTACTTAACTAATGGGGTACAGACACGTTGTTTATAAATACTAGAAAATAACCCAAAACTAAAAATCACATCTTTTTTAGGAACAAATAACATAAATATTGCCTAATGTCTTTATATATACTGTATAAGTACGACTTTCTACTAATACCACAGAATAAATAATAGTACTACGTAATACTTAGATATTTCAAAAAATATGCAATATGCTATGCAGATACTTCTGATAAAAAATATATAGGTAACTTCGTTATAACATCAAAAATGATACCTGGGTACAATAGAAAAATACAAAATAGCTATAATGTAGCAGCGATATTTTCCGAGACTTTACTACTGCAAATTCATTAATTACATCGCTAAAATTTATACCATCAAAAATTTCTTGTTCAATTGCTAATATCGCTAGGCCAGACAATCTTTCTTGAATCATTGTCGATCTTAAATCATTTTTAATGCTTTTTGACTTTGAAAAAGATCGCTCGCCAGAAGCTACAGATACATGTAATGTCAGAAGAATTCTTAGTGAAATGCTTACGTTTGGAAAGGTGGAGATTAAATTGTTTTCAAATATATATTGTAAAATACTTAAGCGGTCAGTATCATCAGGTAATGAAAACAACTTTAACGCTTTAATTTCATTAAACAAATCATTGGAGTCTATATCCTTATTATCCTGATCTGTCAGTCGTTCTACAAGAACAGAACAATGTTTTAAAATATCGCTGTCACTTAATTTGAATATGGCGCTAAAAATCCGAAAATATTATCATACTCATTTAATAAGTCAAATCGGTTTTTTAGAGAGCTATAATTTTTTTTAATGTTTTATCTATAATTTTTAAGAAAAAACTAATTTTAAATGCAATTTTTGGATCATGAGGGGTCTCATCTCGGTGTTCATAGTCAAACAGTTTTGGTTTAAATTTCCTCCTGACCGTTGGTAACGGTGGAAAGTCTTCTTCAATTTAGAGAGAGAGTGCTACTTCTTTTGTTTGTACAAGAATTTCTTCAAACGATTGGCCAGACCTGTATTGCTGGAAGTGATCAACTAAATTTTTTAGGTAGGTTTGGCATACTTTAATATTAATTGTAGCACTTTGCATTTGTTTGCTTACAATATTTATGTGAAATAAAACGTCATGCCAAATAATTCCGCAAATAAGTTGACATTTTTGTACAGACGTAAAGAGGGAACTCGCTTTATGTCTTGCATCAATGTAAAAGGAATTATCTTCAGCTACTTCTAGAAGACTTTCGCAAACCTTAATTAAATAAAGTTTAAGGGGCTTTATTGGATCAATTCTGCTGGACCATCTTGTCTCACTTAGAGGCTTTAAACTTAACCCAGGGACATTTTTTCTCAGAATATCCCGCCTTTTTGTGGACGACGAAAAGAAATTATATAACTCTTGCACAAGATTAAAAAAGTTTATTGTAGCATCTGACACTTTAGAAGCGTCATTTACTGTTAAGTTCAAAGTATGAGTCGCACAAGGTACAAAAAGGGCTCTCGGATTCGCGTCAAGAATGCGTTTTTGAAGCCCAACATGCTGTCCCTTCATGTTTGCTCCATTATCGAAACCTTGTCCCCTAATATTTTTTATATCTAAATTTAATTTATTCAAAATTTCTGTCACAAATGTATATATCCCTTTCCCTGTAGAATCCAGTATTGGATTAAACGCAATAAAACTTTCCTTAACTTCAACCTTTTTTGAAGTTGTGTTAAGGACAACATACCTCAGAACAAGACTAATTTGCTCAGTATGACTAGTGTCTGGTGTACAATCTAATATTATTGGACCTGATGTTACCTTAGTCGCCTCTGTTGAAATTTCAGATGGTCCACTCACGGTTACTGATATTACGGATTTAGAATCTTGAGATTCGGTCGCATCGATAGTCTGCGTGGAATCTTCATTGTTTTGCAAGAAGTGCTTTAAAGAACCAGCCATTTTTTCCCTTTTTTGTAGTCTCAGTTTCTTTTGTTCGCGAAACTTCGCACCTGAAGGTCTCTTTCTTTTATTCTGAAAAAACAAATAAATAATTAGTACTTATGACAATTAGGAATTAACTTCTAAAGTAACCACAATAATAAGCACCAAGTTTGCCTATTGCATATTTAAGTAAAAAGCAATTTGTTCGAGCCCTTTCAGCTTAAACCCTTTCAAAAATAAAGGCAGAACAAGTATTAAACTAATTTGATCTTATAGCGCTTAAAAACCTACAAAATGGTTTTTTAAAAAGATGGATAGCATAAAAACTAAGCGAGTTATGTATAAAAAATCAATTACTTTTTTAAACTCGTACAGGGTTTTGTCTGGATTGAAAATTAGAGCATCGTGTGGGATGTTGAAAAGTGAATTACTACGAGATTGATAAACAAGAGAGTGAACATTGACTTATTTAATAAATTTTTTATAATACATGGCAAATCCTTGTAGGACCAATATGGAGAGTCTCTGACCGACTGATACAAGGAACGAAGTTTGAAGAGGCAAGGATGGTGTAAATAACAAGCAGCTTTGAACAAAAATCTATCTGAGAGATATTGTCTGCGTAGAAATAGGGGGAAGGGGGGGGGGGCTCAACACAGGGGGATATGGGAGTAGATTTCATGCCACCTGTTATTATACGTAGACATTTTGACTGAATTTTGTCCAAGGTATTAAGGGCCATTTTGCTGCATGGCCCTAGTAAAAACCAACCATAGTGAAAATGACTTCTAATTAGAGAATTGTATAAAAGCTTTTGAGAGTAGGGGTGGGAGCCCCACCAAAACCTGATAGAGAACGGATTACATTGAGATTTTTTTCACATTTGGAAGCAATATATGATAGATGAGGAATCCCTGTCATTTTGTTATCCAGAATAACTCCTAAATATTTCACGTGATTTTCAGTGGGGATTAGGGTATTTTTAATATATATGGACACTTCTTCATCTAGAGAAAACCACAGTACTGCATTTCAAAGGAGATATTGATAGGCCATGCTCAAACAGCCAGTTATTAAGAAAGTTGACAGCTTGGGATAAACAGGAGGTAGGGGGCTTGGTAACTACTCAGACAAACAGAAAAAATGATCTGTCACCTAAAGCTTACTGACTACAACGAAAAGAAATCATATTATTTAGCATGTTTTAAACGGGAAAATAAAGAAGAAAACATTTCCTCAGATATAGATATAATGAACACAGAAATACACGCCATTAGAAACTTAATATCTTTTTTAATTATTGAATGTTAACAGATTCGTTTCAAGCACTTCATAAATGTAAATTAGGGGCGTATACAGCTTGGCGTTTGTTGCTCCCTCTCTCCCGCCTCATCTCCTCTGGGAGGCAACGACACCGGGAATCGACAATGTATGGAATGTGTAATGTAGATATAATATAATCTCATTTCACTCCAATTATGTACGGTGCTAATGAGTATTTTAATAGTTAAATATTAAACCTTTAAGTTTTACCTTTGTATAGTTCAAACAAGTCCCACAACAGGCCTCCACTCATTATATTGCGGACTTATTATTTATATATACTTATAATAAATAAATATTCATATATACGTGTATAAATACGTATATATATATATATATATATATATATATATATATATATATATATATATATATACCGTAAATTGGGGATATTTGGAAATCGTGGGTATATTTGGTATTTTTTATTTTTAAGATAGCGATCCAAATATTTTTTGATTTGGCAATGGTAGAAAAGAGATATTCAATCTGGCAACACTATAACTCATGTCAAGTTTATTCTGAAAAGTTACGCCACGCTGCCATAAGAACTGTGTCCACAAGGATTATTTTAATAAAACCGTGAAAAAACAGCAAAAACTTCATTGTTGAACTTTCGGACGGTGCTTTGAAGATTTCAAAGTAAGTAAAAAACTATTTTCTACAAAGAAAAGAGCGATATCTCGGCATTCCAAAACCCTCCTAATCATCATCGCATGTGTTACCTGTCCGCCATTTTGATCGAATATTCTCATGAGGATATTTGGAACAGCAATTTAGGATATTTGGTACCGTAGTACCAAATATCCCCTTATACGCAATGATGGTGTTATTTGGACCAACTATACCAAATATACCCACAAGTAATGTGATCCCATGTTTGCATTACTGGTGTTATTTGGAACGATAATACCAATTATACTCACAAGTAATGTGATGTTTATTAAGGGTAAGATGTTCGAATCCTTTGTATTTCGGATATAATTTTAAAGACTTTTGATTTTGTTGCAGGAATATGCATCAAAATGCCACGAATATATATTAGAAAATTCAGGAATACTAGGAATGGAAAGTCCTTCCTACCTTACACTAATTACAGCTCTGAAAATTTACAGAAAGCAATTCGAGACGTAAAAAGTAAGACTTTAACACTAGGAGAAGCATCATCTAAATATCAAATACCTAAAACAACGTTATCGAGAAAATGTAGAAACCTTAATTGCTCACAAGAAAAAGCAGGACGTCCTACCCTTTTTTCACCTGAAGAAGAGAAAGCCTTCATTAAACACATTGTAAATTTGGCAGACTGGGGATTCCCATTCGATCTTATTGATCTTCGTATTTTCGCGCAAAGGTACTTAAATAAACTCGGAAAAACAATATACGGACTACCCGAAAATTTGCCTGGTTCAGAATGGGCTCGAAACTTTTTAAGGCGTCATAAAGATTTGCTTTCGAACCGTATGGCTTCCAATATATCTACCGATAGAGCAAAGGTATCAGCATCGACGATAGACTCATTTTTTGAGTATTTTGCACCAACAATCGATGGTGTAACACCTGACCGAATCATAAACTATGATGAGACTAATTTAACTGACGACCCAGGAAACAAAAAATACATTTATAAACGTGGTGTAAAATACCCAGAACGGGTAACAAATACATCGAAAACGGCTGTTTCCCTAATGTTTGCTGCTACAGCCGAAGGTCAGTTATTACCGGTTTACGTGGTGTACAAAACAGAACACCTATGGGATACCTGGTTAGAAGGAGGTCCTCCAGACGCAATATACAATCGCTCTAAAAGCGGATGGTTCGACTCGGTTTGTTTCGAGAATTGGTTTGAAAAAGTGATCGTTCCATACGCTAAAAAAAAGCCTGGACGTAAAATTGTCATAGGTGACAATCTCTCTTCACACTTTTCTGAAAACGTATTAAAAAAGTGTGAAAAGCTAAACATTTCATTTGTGTGCTTGCCCCCCAAATCAACACACCTTCTGCAGCCGTTAGACGTTGCTCTGTATGGACCTTTAAAACATTATTGGCGAACTATATTGACTGGGTGGAAAAAAGTAGAAGGACGCAAACATAAAACCCTAGTAAAAGATGTTTTTCCGAAACTGCTGGCCAAACTTATGAACAAACTTATGGAAACCAACACAGGGGGAAAAAACGTCACTGCAGGTTTTAACAAATGTGGGCTTTATCCAATCAACCCGGAACGACCGAAGTCACGACTGCCACACAGTCATTATTTACTACCCGAGGAAATTGAAACAGCTGCTACTTCAGTTGTCATAGAACATCTAAAAGAAATGCGGGGGCTCTCGGCTTCAGATGAGCCCAGAAGACGTAAAAAACGATGTAATGTTCCAGCAGGCCGAGGCATCACAGCACGAGACATTGAGCAAACGAAACCTAAAAAACCAAATAAAATGACAGATAATGAGTTTGTAAATAGTGAAGTAAAAGTTTCTTCATCTGACTCGTCTGAAATAATAGATATTTCAACATTTAATATTCTAGAGCCAGGTCCGTCCAAGTCAATAATCCAAACAAAAAGTACGCAGAAAAATAAAATGTATGAAAAAGAATCTAATAACATAACACCAAGAAAGGTAAAGGTATTGTAAAAAGTAGCAAAATTGGAAAAGAAAATCAAGATAAGAACATGAAACGCAAAGAAAACGGGAAAAAGAAATGTTTTGAAGAAAATAACCATGATAATGCACTGAAACAAAATAATAAAGATAAAAAGAAAAAAAGAAATTGCAGAAAAATTTCAACATGCTCTACTACTTCAGAGTCACAAACCATAAGTATATATGAAGATTCTGATTGTATTGACGAAAACTTTGACATTGATAGAGATATGGATTTAAGAAATATGAATCGTTGTCCCTCGGGTCCAGTCACATTGACAGAAAATCAAGAGATAGTCCAATCTTCTGACAACATAGAATCAAAAACACACAAGGAGTTAAGCACACTCGAAACTATAGAACAAATAATCCAAACTTCTGACAACATAGAACCAGGAATTACAAAGAAGGAGTTTAGAACAACCGAAAATATAGAAAACTTTAAAATAACTACACCTTCTGACATAATAGAACCAGACATGAAAACAAATAAAACAAGCTCAATCAGCATTCCAGCAAATCAAGGGATTGCTCAATATTGTAACAACAGAGAGAAAGAGACAACAACGACCAATGAGACTCAAGAAAACCGAGACACGAGTGAATTTTATGATAAGAAAGAAGCAAAAGTTACTACGAAAGAGAAATTACCAACAGAAAGCACTGACAAGACTATATCGAACCAAGAGACAAAACTATCAGAAGAAGATATCAAGACCAATTTTAACAACAATGATTCAGAAAGTAGAAACACAGAACAAGAAAAAGAATATGAATTGAATGACCACGTAATTGTAAGATACATCAACAAAAAGAAATGGAAATATTATATAGGTATCATAGAAAACATAAACATGGAAAATGAAGAACCTTATACTATTAGATTTTATAAAACAACTAAAAAACCGTCGTTACGGTTCCTTTTGACACGAAAGCTTGACAGGGACATAGTTCCCTCTATATGTATTGTCAAGAAAGTCAATTTGATACAAAACCCAAATTAATGAAAGGAGTTCTTTCTGTCCTTGACTGACGATGATGTCGTGGAATTATTTACGTAAGTGCATGCTGATCGTCTTAAAGGATTGTAGGTAGGCCATTGGTTGAAATCAATGGATAAAATTCACTAACTGACGCTGTCATAATTATGTCAGTGGTTCCATATAATTTTTAAATATTATTTTGTACTTGTAGTAATTGGTAAGCCTAAAGTTTTCATACATTGTAAGAATTAACTCAACACAAATATTTAAAATCATGACAGTTTGACATTGGGACTTTGGGACCAATTCACAGGCTCTAAAGTTATTTGACAGGACTAAAGTTGTTTTAAACAATCTTTCTTTTTCTTATTATGGACAAGAGAAGGATATAATCCTTTAAATAATTTTAGTATTGTCAAATAAGTTGTGTGCCTATGAAATAGCCCAACTCTAGAGAGATTTAAACCTTTTTTAGAGATTAAAACTATACATATGCGATTGGTTTATTCAATAATTGACAATCCTTGTTCCATATTTCGTAAAAGTAAACTTTTAAATGCGAAATTTCGTAAAATTATACCTATAGTGATATCATTTAGCAAAAAATAAGTGGAATACTTCGCCTTAAGCCTTATCTACTGTTCCAAATATCATCCAATGCGTATAAAATGGTATTATTTGAGAAATACATCGTAACAACACTCACGGGATTTTCATTTCCAAAAAACCCCATGAGGGGTATATTTGGAACAAGACCTTAAAAAATATATATCTCGGTAACAGTCGGCCTTATACTATTGAGACAGCCACTATCAGACCTATCTGACTAGGGTTTTTCCATAAGTGTTTAGAATATTACGCAATTATTTATATTACGTTAACAAACAAACGTTTTCGTCTCAAAAATGTACCAAATATCCCCATTTTACGGTATATATATATATATATATATATATATATATATATATATATACGTAAAAAACAAGACCACGAATGCGTTGTCAGTTGTCATCCTTGTGGTGTTTTTTTAATAGTTTATGGCGTAGTGGTTATATTCTCTTTGGTTTAAGGGTAAATTAATGCTGTTGTCCATAGACATCTATATCTATACTTGATTACGAATTAAAATTGAGATGCGTTGATACATCTAAGGGCTAAGATGGAATGCCTCTTATCCAGTAAATAGGGTCTCCGGTCCGCTACAATCACCATAAGAAACACAGCATTTCACGCTGGTATTCTATGAGAGCGTGGAACCCATTCGTGCGCGTGGTTCTGCCACGTGTAATAAACTGAAATGCCTCATAAACTACTCTCTAACAAAAATAAAGAAGGTACCTATCGAGAATAAAAGAAAAAGCTAATTAAATTATTAGGATTAATGACATGACAATATTTCTGATCATCTCAAAATGTTATCACATTAACTTTACCTACCGGAAATTGCCACAAATTACAATCGCGAGATTCCATTTCCGTCGTAAATAACGAAAGGTTGGTAGGTACTATACTTACGTAAACTTTAAGTTCTAACGGATAGTGAACTAAAATTTTCAGAATAAGTATATTGATATAATCCATACAGAAGCAAATGAAGCACTAGGTTTCTTTTAAAGATTTGCAAAAGTAAAGATTTCGAGAAACCAGCTGCGGTCAGACAAATTTAAACAGCTACGTGAGGAGCAAGCTTGAATAATTTAGCAATATAATATGATGTCAAACTTTCAAGATAGGTATACATAGACAGAATTGAAAATTCCGAGATCTCTGATCTCACAAAACGACAAAATAAAACACTCATCTACAGGAACTATCTTCAAGACTGACTTACGTAGATATAATATGCTTTCTTTCAGTAGGTAGGCAGTAAATAGGGTTATTGATTATTCGTCCTCCCTAAACAAATTCCAAAATAATATCCTACAATAACAATGTCAGTACATGGAATAATATCCATCTCCCTCGCACTTTTTCTTATCTTGCCATGAAAGAAATACTAGTATAAATGACGCTTCATTTTAATAGACGCTAGTAATTCATTTATTTGTATTTGTTAATCAACAATATAAAACGCTTATCAATAATAATATACTACGAAAGGAACTTCGTTCCAAACGAATGTTCCACGACACTCACGCATGTTTTGTTTTTTTTTTTTGTAATAAAACTTCAGAATGTATCGAATTTCTTCGTTAGATTCAAGGAGCATATAACCACTTAAATTCACTCATTTTGACGGACAGAAAAACAATTGAAAAATGGACAAAAAAGTTTTTTATTTTTTATTTTCTTTTCTTTGAGAGACCGAGAACATACTACGCCAGTACCTATATTCTAAGTATGTATATGTGTATTGATATTAAAACCAGCCAGATACAAACGGTACAACCAAAAATATTTATCTTCAATTTTATACAAACAAAATATGGAGAAACTCTTTTCCCGACCTATGAGGTTTAAGATAATCATCAGTCTTACTTTATTATTAAGTACTTTAATCATCAAAGATTTACTGTATCCATTTTTAATTTTGTTTTTTAAATAATTCAAGATTTTCGGTTAAATTATATCCTAGTTCACTCCTGGCATTGTTCACTATCTCTTCGTCAAGTTTCATTAGGTTCAGCCATTCCGAAAATTAGCTCGGACAGAAACACAAATAGACATTTATTTTAATTTTTAAAAATGTATATACATGTCTTAATAGCAAATGCAAATAATCCCCTCAGCATAATAAAAGACAGTTATTTTGATGTTACAGACTGACACTTCAATTTTGATTCATTCATTCATTGCAGCCCTTCACAAGTCCACTGCTGAACATAGGCCTCCCCCAAGGAATGCCGCAAAGCACGGTCCTGAGCCACCTGCGTCCATCTGTCTCCCTGCATGTCTTACCAGGTCGTCACTCCATCTAACTGGGGGCCGCCCTACACTTCGCCTACCGGTACGAGGCTACTCGAGAGGCCACTCGAGAACCTTGCTTCCCCATCGGTTGTCGGTTCTTCAAGCTACATTGCCGGCCCATTGCCACTTTAGCCTACTGCTAAAGTTAGGCTATGTCGAATACTCTGGTTTAACTGCGAAGTTGTTGACGGGTATGTTTACCTGGGACATATAGTCTGAATAGGTAAGTCCAACCTCGACCGAGATGTCAATAGAGCTCGCGGGTTCGGGAGATTACGACACATCTTTTCGTCAGATATACCTCAAAACTTGTAAACAAGATTGTACAACCAGTGCGTGTTGATAGTGATGACTTATGGATCTGAAACATGGTCCTTCATTGCTGGCCGTATGAGGAAGCTCAAGGTTGCTCAGCGAGCTATGGCGAGGGCTGTGCTCGGGGTTTCTCTGCGTGATAAACTTCAATTTTAATGTATATGTGGCGTGAAAGGGGAGATCTCCCGCCGGGCAAGGTGTTCTGCCCGGGGAGCGGCCAACGCTCCGATTGGTAGTTCGGAGCTATTCTATATATGCTACTTTAACCTCGGAACTTTGTTAGCGCGATTTAGGCTTCGATGTGTTTCGCTTGTGGCGCGACGACAGCCCCGCCATATCACACCCCTGCTCAGACCGGAGGTCGATAGTGCAGTCTAGATGTTGACGAATTTGCAAGTGCCAAGGAATTGCCTTGTAGTCTGCGATGAGTCGAGAAGAAGGCAAGTAATCTGCGAGAGTACCGTGAAGCAGAGGCGAGCAGTAAGGCTCAGAGCCGTGCCGAACACTATAGCGCAGAGAGTAGCTTGAATGAACAGGAAGCATTATTATTCCAGTGCTGCGATGAACCTTTATAAAGCTAGATGGCTTGCAGAATGTGAAGACTGCAGACAATATCTGCTCGGGAGCGAATGAATGTGGTACTTGAGGATGATAACGAAGGTTTGAAGTTGTAGTATCTAAAGGTTGTTGGTTGCGTGTTCATATCACGTCGGGGTCACCACTGTGGCGTGTGAAAGGAAAAGGGGAGATCTCCCGCCGGGCAAGGTGTTCTGCCCGGGGAGCGGC